TATTTTATCATAAACTGTTAACGTGTCTGTGGTTGGGTGTTTCTTTAATATAACTGACATCCTGAAAAATCCTTCCTTTTTGGGGGGATTGAATATGAATGCCTCCCATTTCCCGATGGATTTAGCACTTCCCCCGATGAAAATCAAATACGACCACTAGACTACAATCCTTCAGCAGCGATGCTTTTATAGTCATGACATTCTGCATCCCTTCAAGGTCAACAAATACAAATTATGTCTGCACATTGTACTACAAGAAAAGAATTAGCTGTATGAAAATACACTTGCCAAAGTATTATATTACAAAAGTGCCAAGATTTCTTCTCTGACAAAGAATGAACGCACTGTAGAACCATCACAGTCAACTATTCAAGTAATATTACACAAATTGACGAGGCTATAACATTATAATTATTTGCATATACAGTCAGGTCTCTTATAAAAGCTCTCCTTTATATACTTTTTTTTTGTAAATGTGATTGAAGAACGTACATCCAAAATTGAATAACACATGAAAAGGCCTTATTGTACACGCTATACGATTTTTGATGAAGTTTTCAGTCAGATTTATAATAAAAGTTCCACTATGTAAGAAACCTGACTATGCAAATAGCCAGTGGAAGACCACTCTGGTTTATAAATATAAATGCCACAGCGGAGGCTGCACGCTCAGGTTGTTTATGTGCTACATCAGTCGCTGTAGGGACACTTATTATTATTATTACAATCAAAACTAAGCGCTAAAACCACAAGGGTGTATAGTGACTAATCAGAGGAGTATAACGAGCTATCCATCTCCATGGCCGGGTAAGAGAGGTACTTCACACACCCACACCCTTGAGAATCTTAACAGGGTTAGGCATTTTTTAAATTCATTGTGCTGCGTGATACACGTAAACATCACCAGTAACATCGAATAGGCTTGAACCCTAGCTTAGGACAGCATCAACTGTTTATCATGGAGTAACCAAAAAAAAAGGCACAATACGATGACTGGAACAATACACAAATAACCCGCACATAGAAGAGAGGAGCTTAGGACGACGTTTCGGTCCGACTTGGACCATTTACAAAGTCATTTTGTAAATGGTCCAAGTCGGGCCGAAACGTCGTCGTAAGCTCCTCACTTCTGTATGCGTGTTATTTGTGTATCATGGAGTGCCTGGTCCTGCTAAATAGCCGGACTCCACACGACTGCCTAGCCACGGTCCGAGGGCCACATGCAGTCGCATGTGCCCGAGGGCCGCATACGGCATTTAAGTGGCACAATTGCGGCTCTCGGTATCTTATGTACAAAATAAAACTATCAACATTATTTTTTTGGGCAAGTGAAAAAAGTTGTGCATCCCGCTGAGCCTTATGCCCACCCATCGCATTAAAATTTTCCATTTCTATGTATAGCCAAGAAACCGCAACACCCGAATGACCTCGGGGATCAGCCGAGGTTAAAATATATTACAACGCGCCCAAATAAGCAGGAGATCGATGATATAACTGACTCCACTTCCCTTGATATATGGACCAGTTACACGATTAGTCTTATAGAGAGATAGTTTGAATTGTTTTACAGGATGTATAGATGTTGCCCTCGTTATTTTATAATCAAAACTGATAGAAATTATTTCCAATTTGAATATGTCGATTACTTTCACAAGAAGACAATAACGAAGGAATGTTGCACCAGGCCCACTGGCCCATGCTAGGAATGTCTAATTCACACCCACCCCATACCCGCTTATGCACCGGTTCAACTTATTTTTAAAGCTACTCAAAGTTCTTGCCTATCTTGTTTGTTTACGGTGTCAGCTAATGATATTTTGTTTTAATTTCGCGATCAGACCAACATTACTTTGTATTGTTTGTCTAAATCATTAGCTTAAATGTTTACACCATCAGCTGATTGAGTCATGTTATTTGTTTACATCATCAGCTGATAGCGTGTAAGTTTACACTAGCAAGGTCGGCAGATCGCAATGTTCACATCAAATATTTTAAGAACTTTTTTTGTACATACTAAAGTCATTACATTTCCTAGGAAATGACTATTTTTACAGCACGTTTGATAACATGTTGGTAACAAAACACTTCATTTACAATACAGTCAGCCTATGTTGTCTACAATTTACACATGGTTCCATACCACTCTGACATAAGAGATACATAAATAACCTGCACATAGAAGAGAGGAGTTTACGACGACGTTGTTACATAAGAGATACTTAGAGCTACTACCCCACCCGGGGGGCCACTCTGCAAACCCGAAGAAGATGAGCGATACCACCAACCCGGGGGCCCAATGCCGAGTCACCAACTGGAAAAGACCCGGGCCAGGACAACACCGGCAAACCTACATCAATCAAGTTTACTCAAGAGCTGTCTTGGCTAGTCATTGACCATAGTGATAGCCTATAAAATGGAGACCTAACGGATAAGGTAGGGAAATGGATATGCCAAATTTCTAATAAACTGATCGAAAATAATAAAAAGTCACAATACTATCGGTGGACAATAAAAGAGGGTGATATTAAGCAACACAGAAGTCAACCTGGGCACGGTCCTGGTGCCTTTACAGTTTCTAATACCCTGGGCATCCTGTAACAGGAAATATTAGACTCCATAGCCGAAGCAGCTAGTTTGTGTATATTCTTAACGCAAGAACGTATGGATACACAAAGTTCTGGGAACTAGACCCCAAGAGCGTTAACATGAGCAAATATGGACAAATATGTATAATTTATATTTCACACGTTATAAGCAAATTTAGGATATTTGCTTAAAATATCTGGTGTCTTATTTTCATTAATGAGAAACATCTACACATCCTACATGTTATTATACTATGTCTGTTCCTCCGTAAATGGACAGTCCAGCACAAAATATTCAGGAAAATGATCATAAAGCTAACCACATATTTTGCATTTAATTTCATCATCGACTTACTAGCCACAAGTTCAGTTACCGCCCGTTCAGTGGATCGTCTGTGTATGTGTTAAACTGCCAAAAGTGTTTGTAATCAAGCCTAAGCCTAGTTACTGTTTACATCGCAAGTTGCCTACAGTGATGATATGGAACCAGTAATGGCCGTTACTAATATCAGTAGTGTCACTAGTTAACTTTAGTGTTATTAGGATAGCAAACAGTTCAGTTGCTTAACTCAATATGGTGCTATAATTCGTATTTCGGGTGGTGACAACAAGAGCAGTGACGGACCTGTCAGTAGACAACGTATAATAGGAAATGAAGGTTAATTACATCATTATGTCTCTCCAGAGCTCTGGAAATTATAAGAGCCAAGGCAGATGAGATACATGAATTGCGAGGAGCCGCGGTCACAAGTAGCAGCAGCAGCCAAATTATTGGGTAGGGTTGAGGCCGCCCACCTGCCCCTGGCTGAGGCCGCCCGCCCTCCCGCCCCTCCACTAAAACACCACACACTAAACCAACAGGCCTGGAGCCCTTGCCCGCCCCCACACTAAACCAGCAGGCCTTGAGCACTCCACGCCTCGCTGAGAACATAGCCTGTAATCCACACATTATACCGTATAATATAGTCACTAATACCTACCTTGAGGCCAATACTTGTTTGGCGAGGCTCGCTGGCTGCCTACTAAGGTTCTTATTAACAAAGCCAAAATGAGGCATTTTTTATGCAGTGAGAATCTCTACGTTGTGTTCATTGTTGGTCCTGAGTACTACTACGTGTATATTTTCCTTAGTGTCAGTGTTGTCACTTCAAGTGCTCAGTTTCCACACAAGTTTACAAAGTGTTAGCACATTTATGTTGCTCGTGACGCCAGTGTTTCATTATGATGCTCATTACGTCGGTGTTGCCATGTCATACTGCAGCCTGGCATCATTACCTGTCATTCAGGAAGGACTAACCTGGGAGGGTTGAAAGACGTCGTTGAGATTTTGCAATCACGTATCTTAAGGAGCTGAGTTGAAACTTATCAGTCATTTCGTAAGGGTGTGAAAAGATACAAAAGCCCTAATACATACCAGTACCCTGGTACTTGGTCACATGCCTGCGTCGGTAACATATCTGAGACCGTGCCACCCCCATCTCTCGCTCACAGTCCCTGTGTGAGCGAAAAAGTTGTGGTTAATGAAAGTGTCCACTGCATTTAAGTGTCATTTATTACCACCTTGTCGTTGTTTACATGCTACTCCAGTTCCTGTTAGTCCTGTACTCGAATGTCTGCTTCGTAACTGGGAAGTTTTATAAGTGGAAGAACATGAGTACATGGTTCTCATACATAACAGTATATTCAGTGCTAAAGGCTCTGCTGGCGGAGCCAACGCTAGAGCGGAGTCACTTTTCATGGTTCTCTACCTTATCCATCACGAAAATAGGAGGAAGGGGAGTGGTTAGGTTATCCAAGAAAGTGGTGCATAACCAGGAGACAGCAAACATGCTTCGTATGGTTTTGCAACCAATTATGTAAAAAAGTATGAGATATACACATCAGTGAAGCAAGAACTTTGGGTAGCTTTAAATGTAGATTGAATGGGTACATGAGTGGGTGTGGGCGAATATGAATTGACCCTGCTTAGCATGAGCCAGTAGGCCTGCTGCAGTGTGCCTTCGTTCTTGTGTATTCATCAGATGATTCCCCATATTCACTGTCGATTCAGATTTCGCCCCAATAATACCACTGTCATCAGTGAGTGCTAAGTTTCTTTCATTCATACTTATGGAAGCTCTGTAAGATTTACATGCCGTCTTAAGTGTTCAAGAAACAGAAAGAAATAAAACTACGATCTTACAAGAGTGAAAAATGAAAAACATTTAGTAGGCTTCCGTTTCACAATAACATGAGCTGGCAGTAGTACCTCCGTGGATGGTGTAATGCCTACTTAAATTCCTTGACAGGTGCATAAGACACAACTTCTTGGCAATCTTATCTGTATAGCCCTTGTGGCTTAGCGCTTCTTTTTGATGATAATAATAATAATAATAATAATTGGCAATCTTATAAACAAGTTTGTATCTTCCATAGACGACCTGGGCGACGACCTTGAGATCGACCCCGTGGAGAGTGAGGACGATGACGCTGGCTCATCTGCCGATCGCAACTCCAGGTCCGGTGAGTTAGTCTTAGTTTTTTTTTTTATCTTTTTTGTAGCTACAGAAAAAAACAGTTTGGAGGACCATGAGAACAGTTTGGAGGGCCATCAGAACAGTTCTGAGGGCTATCAGAACAGTCCAGAGGGCCGTCAGAGCAGTTCGGAGGACCATCAGAACAGTTCGGAGGACCATCATAACAGTTTGGAGGACAATCAGAACAGTTTGGAGGACCATCAGAACAGTTCGGAGGACCATCATAACAGTTTGGAGGACCATCAGAATAGTTTGGAGGACCATCAGAACAGTTCGGAAGACCATCAGAACAGTTTGGAGGGCCATCAGAACTATGATATCAGCATGCTTCTGGCAAGATAGCGATTGAATGAAGGATAAATGCATTTCCGATTTTTACTTGGGTCACCTTATCTCGGTGGGAGACGACCATTATGTTCTTGAGGAATCACTACACTCGTAATGGTCATCCGAGGCTTGAAGAATATGATTTCATCTGGTTTGATCCGAGGAGGGAAAAGATATCCAGTTTGTTGGCTCAAGAGTCCTTTGTGATGTGGGTTGTCCTCTCTTTTTTTCTGTGAGACAGTAGACTTCAGTTTCGTCTAAGATGGTTGTAATGCTAGAAGTTAATGATCTGTTCTCACAAACAAGATATCCTACACCTTTAGTATCTGTACGACAGCTCACATATACTGTGGTGACTGTGGTCCCCGGTTCATTCCCGGGCGCTTCCTTCAATGTATTTTGCCGAGGACCCCAATGGAAATAAGTCACTGATTTTTTTTGGATTATCATGGGTAATTTACACTTATGTTAAACTGTGTATGATAATTGTACTTATGTGTACCTGTGCCTACATAAACTTACCTATACCAAGCTATGTTTCCTGGTAGGTGAAGGCAGCGAGGGCGTGGGCGGTGGCACGGGTGTGGGTGGCAGCAAGTCCAGGAGACGGCGTACCGCCTTCACCTCGGAGCAGCTGATGGAACTGGAGCGAGAGTTTCAAACCAAGAAGTACCTCACCCTCAGTGAACGTTCCCACATCGCCCAGACCCTCAACCTTTCCGAGGTGAGACTCCTATTCCCCAGAGGCATTGAATAGTGTTTAACCTTTAATTTTTAAAGGGATGGACAGGTAAGCGCGTGGAAGGCCTCGGTCACATAAGCAAAAGCTTCAGTTGCGGGTCATCATATGACTAAGACCAGCGTCAGGAAACACTTGTCCTGTTTCCTGACGAAATTTACCTAGCCTAACTCTCTCAGACCCTCTGAGGCGAGACTTCTCCTTTTCCTGGGCGCTCTCTTCCCTCCCCTCCCCCTACCATCTACCCTACCTACTGAAATTTAGTATACAAATTGTTGAACACGAAGGAACCTTCCCTCCTCGATCCATATACCCATATGCTACAGCCGTACATCTTTTTCCTTTGAAATATTTGTCATACAGCATTACGTATCTGTCATTTAGTCAATATTATAAGAGCATAAGCTAGGGTCTATAAAAATAGTCAAACATTTTCTACATAAATTATGTACTAAGTTTATGGAGAACCTACTCAGTATTCTAGTGAACAAGTTCTCATTACTATTAGCATCAGCTTCAACATCGGTAAATTAAATTGAATGATCGAGGAACAGATTAAAAAATGTTTTGTTTACTAATGTTACACGATAAACTGTTCACAACGGAACACAATTTACAACATTCTATCTCAGTAGTGCAAGTATGTTACAGATACAACACATGCAGCTCACATATACAACACATGAAGCTCACAGATACAAAACACATGCAGCTCACAGATACAAAACACATGCAGCTCACAGATACAACACACATGTAGGCAGCAAATACAACACATTTAGGTCACATATATAACGAACATACCGCTAAAAAAATATTCGAAGAATGATGTATTTTACAGTAAGGAATAAGGTAATTTTTTTGTATAAATGCGTTTTATTTTATATCAAGGATATTGATGAAATAAAGCAAACGAAGCTAATCACGTATTGTTTTCAACTCACAGGTGCAGGTAAAAATATGGTTTCAAAATAGACGTGCCAAGTGGAAGCGCGTTAAGGCAGGCCTGGTGTCAGGCTCGTCAGGTGGAGGGAAGAGTGCCACGTCTGGTCACAAGATTATTGTTCCTATCCCTGTCCACGTCAACCGGCTCTCCAACCTCTCTCAGTCACAACAGATGGAGAAATCGTCCAGCTCTCCAGGTAAGCTTCTCAGGCGACCTTTAAACTGTATGGAATTTTCTTGTGTGGTTAATGAGGGTATGCACATGTGTAAGCAATAATGTTGTAGATAAAAAGTTACAACATTACCATAAATAGGTAATGTTAAATGCAGATAAGCCACCAATAGCTTAAAAAAAGTGAAGAAAGTATATGACTTTGATATTAACCCCGGAGTGTAATTAACCCAGTAATGTGGCTTATTACTATTGGAGTTCTTTGGGGCTTTTCCCCTAGGATGCGATCCACAACAGTTGGCTAATACCCAAGTACTTATTTATTGCTGGTGAAAAGGGGCAATAGGTGTTAGGAGACTTGCCTTGGGCCTCGAAAAGGCCGAAGTTTAATGCCTTTTGACACAAGTGTCGGAGGGTACCTCCTTCCTAAATTCAACTGAGGAAAGATATAAGAGGCCTTTTTTTTTTTGTATATTTGTGGCATATTTTCATAGAAGTAAGCATAGATCCATATCCTTAACACACTATTTATTTACCTTTAGGAGTGAGTGGGGGAGGCGCTGGAGGTATGAGTAGCAGCAACACGTCGCAGCTGCCATCAATTAAGCCCATGGATCCTCAGTCAAGCATCCAATCCCGACGCTCTGCCTTCCAGGGTCTGTCTCAGTCCCTGCCGGTGTCCCTGGGTCAGAGCCTCTCCCAGCCGCCCTTGCCCGTCTCAGTGCCACAAACAGTCCACCAAGCCATGCCAGTTTCATTGTCACAGACTCTCTCCTCTACTATACCACATCTCAGTCACGCTCCTTCCCTCGCCTTGTGAAGAGCTTCACGCAGGAGGTGACATTGTTATATTTATACATATATATATATATATATATATATATATATATATATATATATATATATATATATATATATATATATATATATATATATTATATATATATATATATATTATATTATATATATATATATATATATATATATTATATATATATATATATATATATATATATATATATATAATATATATTATAATATATATATATATATATATATATATATATATATATATATGTATGTATGTAAAGTGGATTGTGGAGCCAAATTGCCTGGCACACGCTAGGAACGGACTCGTAGCTAACACCTAATTGTGAGAGTGTGACTATATATGACTGAGTTTGCAGATTTAGAAATGAGCGAAGTGCAAAAAACATGGTCATTTATTATGGTACACAAATTGAGTTACAATATTAGTGTGACTCTGATCGACTCTGATCCATTGAAAATGCAGAGTCGTAATTCTGGAAAGAGCATGCCATTATAAAATTATTTCATGATGTGGTAAGCTGTTGTCAGCTAGTGTTGACTGTTAGACTTGCCAGCTTCGTGTAAAAGTGGACTGTCAATTGAAGTGCTGCATGAGACTAGGATTGTTGATGTGGGACGCTGAGTGCAAAAGTGCCGAGTGATCTGGTGGCGTTTGCAATGTACGTCAAAGACAATGTTATTTACAAATTCCGTCCTGCTACAATACAGATGTGATCCTCACATTATGGTGATCCAACTATCATACAACATGAATTAATATAATCTTGCAGACACATACAACAATTTACTCCTTTTACTCGTAGTAATTTATGCAAGAAGAGTATTTGAACTAATTGAATATTTATGAGATGCTTTTAACCCCTCGAAAAGAAAGTAAAAGTATATACATTATTATAAAGGCGGAGTAGCTTGTGGTACTGGATTCTTTCTCAACTTAATTTCGTGTAACTTAATAACCACTGAGAATGACCTTTACAAAGCTAAATATATATTAACGACTTCGCATTAATAGCTCTTTTCAGTTATGCTGACTACAATTGAAATTATTTTTGTAAATATCGCTTTACTTTTTCTTATCTTAAAATTTACAGTAAGATCATTAAGCCCCAAAAAAACTTGGTCATTAAAAGTAAATTACTCTCATAAGTCAGTTGTGTGACAGCTCTTGAAAACAGTCCTATGTGAGGGTGAGCTACTGAGAGATCACGTCTGATGCATTACTCTTGCTCTCTCATACTTACTGACTTCAAAACTTCCGTTACATACAAGCTGGTGACATTCTGGCAGTGATGGTTGAGAGGTAACGAGTGTGGAAAACTAAGCAGACCTATAATACAGTGGGTGTTAGCTGTAAGTCTCTCGACTTTGTAAATAGAGCCTAGTGAATTTAGCATAGTGGTGTTGACGTGACTTGTTAAGTACAGTACTAGCAGAACTAGTTTCCCGGTGAAGCCACTGCTTTTTATATGGACTTTTGGGGTTACTTTAAGTAATGCAAGTCAGAAAATGACGCCCTGTTTTCTGCTGTTTAAATTTTCTGCTTTTATATGTATAAAATTTAAACATGGCAAAATATACAGTATATCTTCAGTTACAGTTGTAGAAACAGCTAATATTTTTATTTTATAAAGAAATACATGGACATAAATGTACATATGTAAAATATTACAGTTACATATACACTTTAATTCCCTAAATGTAATGTTATACCCAAGATAAATAATTGATTTATCATCAGATGAAGAAATAAATATTCTTTGAATAACGGAAATATTTTTGGAAATATTCTCCCGTTATGAAATACCATTTGGTTCACTAACGTAATGATGAAACTCTTCTTCTGTTATTCGCCTGAGTACCTGAGTTACAATCTTAGAGAGAATTGTGATAGTATTATTATATTCAGGCGAAACACTAAATCATAAAGGAGTGATGGTATTATTGCATGAGCTCGTCTCTCGTCATCTAGTTCTTACATTGCTTGAAGTTCTCTAACTTGGGGTCGCTTCCTTTTCCCTCCCTTCCCAAATAAACTGCAAATTGGGAGGAAAGGCACTGGCAGCAGGGGATTCTTTTAATATAACGTTACGCCCAAGGCTGGGCGTTATCAAACAACAGCTCAGCCTTGGGCAAAATATTGTATTAAAGTAATCCTTTGCTATCACCGTCTTTATTTCCACTTGTCGGCTTTTGTCATTGTCTACCAAAGCTATGCAAATTCTTGTGAGATTAAGTTACGTTGCTTGCGTCAGTTTTGGTACAAAAGGAAAACCTGGTATACCCAAAATTGCACAACTTTCGATATCCTCCTCAAGGTGCAGGTGTAGGGACCCATAGCCTCGGAGAAGTAAAAAAAAATAAAAGGCTTCAAGGAAATATACCGATATTTCTCCTTGAGGCTGTTTAGACTTTTTTTTCCTTCAGGGGAAAAGACAATCTTGGGGAGATTTATTTTTTTTTATTTGTGTTGATGTCAATACATCGCCAGCTCTTTATTTTCAAGTCCCAAGGCTCGGGCCCCATGTGAGCTGTTATATTTATTGATTTGTTAATCAATTGTTGAGAGTACTCCATGTTGGAGTGAGCGTAGAATTTTCGCACAACTTCGAGAGTGCAGTTCTTTGTTAAATTTAGTTTTCAGGGATTTTAGCAGGGCTCGTGACAAGGTTCAGCGTCGTTGGTAGGCGTAACGAGAGCCATGTATAGTCAAGTGTCAATAAATCGAAACTAACTTGAACAGAAACCTCACTCTTACACCATAGATGTTTCACCTACCCCTAAACCACCAACCCCTACACCGGTCTACAGTACTTTCACCTTCTCATACTACGACAGATAACCTCACAGGTTCCCAACGACCCACAGGTTCCCAACGACCCAGAGGTCCCCCACAAACCAATGGACCCACTAATCCATGGCGATCCTCTGATCCCGTCCCCAGTTTTACACTTCCTTAACAGCCCTGTTCTCTCCCATTTTTTTCTGATTAAGGTGCGTCGACTTCTAAAGGCCATCAGCACCTGTCTTTGGGTAAATTATATACTGTCATTTGTGAATATTTTAATTCTTAAAATAACTCTAGTAACCACTTATATATATATATATATATATATATATATATATATATATATATATATATATATATATATATATATATATATATAATATATATATATATATATATATATATATATATATATATATATATATATATATATATATATATATATATATATTAGTATATAGATAACCGTCTTGAGGCAGTGTCTCAGACACTTTCTCTACCAATGCGATCACAATAGCCACAAACATCAACAAGTCCGTCTTACTCAAACACAGCCCTTACAGCACTGACACCCACATCAGTATTGGTGTCGCGTCCGCACTACTGCAGCTGCAACGCCCTCACCCCACACCCACGATGAACACAGCCTCGTCTTTGCTGTCTTCAGCAGCCCTTGTCAGCCCGGCCCGAGCACAGGGGAGAGCCAATGTTCCTACATATATAATAATCAATACATGATCTAGCCCATAGGGTGGCGTGTACACGTACTGGAAATATTTATATATATAATCCTAATAAATATTCATTTATATACCTTGCCTTATTATTTTCATGCATACTTCGTAATGACTAATCTCCTTTTAAGGAGGGAAATTTTAGATTATTGTTGTAGTTATTTTATAATTCATTATAGTAGTACTGTTAACCTCTTAATGTTTTTCAAAGAAATATTCTTCATATAATTTTAATCATATTTTTCCTTATAACTTTAATTATCCGTATTTAAGTTTCTTTTAAATTTGTTTTCTTGTGCTAAAACAAGATTCCCCTAGTATTTCCTCAAGCCCCCGTAGCTGATGAACCCTTATCGGAATATTTGAAGATTATTCATTGGCAATAATTACTGGCGTCTCCCAGCTCAGCTGACAAGTTTCAGCACATTATATGAGTTCCATCCTGCATGAGGCAATATGAGAAGGAAATAACAGCTAGTTACACTTTGTAACTATTATACAGAACAGGGCTGGAATACTGCTGTACATTAACATCTCCATCCAAGGCAGGACAAATTGCAGATCTAGAGAATGTACAGAGAACCTTTATTGCACATACAAGTTTCATCAAACTACTGGGAACGCTTGGAAGCAATTGACTTGTACTCACAGGAGCGCAAGTGAGAGAGATACATCATAATCTACAGCTGGAAGATCCTAGAGGGACTGGTCCCTAATCTGCACACGAAAATCACTCCATATGAAAGCAAAAGATTTGGCAGGGGATGTAAAATGCCCCCAGTGAAAAGTAGGGGGGCCATTAGTACACTAAGAGAAAATGCAGTAGGTGTCCGGGGCCCAAGACTGTTCAACAGCCTCCCACCAGCCATAAGGGAAATTACCAATAGACCCCTGGTTGTTTTCAAGAGGGAGCTGGACAGATAACTAGTCAGTGCCAGTGTCAGTGTTCACTAAATAACGAGATGTCTTGGAAATTGCTGCCCATACCTCACTCAACTTATGAGAGAAAAAATAATTTGCTGGCAATAATTCTGCTTTCTTCATGCTGATTAGATGGATTACGATAAATATAAGAAAATGGGTGAAAATCAAGGTACTAGCCATTACATGATTTAAGAAATGCCATAGCCTAGAATATTAATTTAACTTATTGACAGAAAAGTACGTATCTGATTGTATCTTTCCATTACAGGGTACATACACTGAAAGGTGTACATCTCATTTTATATAAATTTTATATATATTTTTATAACTGACTACTTTGAGGTCTTAATGACCCTCATGTGTAATCGATTGGTCTAATTGGTATCTGGCTCAACTGAGCCCTGGTTATTATATCGCCATTAAGTGACCAAGTAATATAGGTCGACAAAGTGAAAAATATTTTATTCTGTAACTGGTCCGGATGAAGGCAAGTCTAACATTAGTAATGATTTGTTGGTCCTAACAAATTGGTGAAACAGCATGTAATTTTCCTCGGTATACAGATAATATAATACCA